GGAAGGAGGGAGGGAGGGAGGGAGGAAGGAGGGAGGAAGGAAGGAAGGACGAGCTGCAGTGACAGGCTGGATGGGCCTTCTACACAGCAGCCCCGGCGAGGGCTGCAGGAGGCGCTGCGGGTTCTGACCCCAGGGAGGAATTTGGATCCTGGGAAATGCCGGGCTCCAAACCCGGCTTTGTTGCGATGCTGCAGCTTAACTTTCCAAATGGAAATTTAAAGAAATGGACAATAACCTGCTGCCTCCCGAGTGAAAAGAATGGCCTGATATATATATATATATATATATATATATTTATATATATTTTTTTTTTTTAACTTAAATTTGCTTTTTAAAAAGAAATGGCCGAGACCCCCGTGTGCGCAGGGGCTCACTCTGCAGCGGAACCGCGCCCTCCGGGGTGCGAGGGTCCGCCTGGCCGTGCAGCGTCGGGTCTCTCCCACAGGACACCGAGGCTCGGCCGCCGCCCGGGTGTCCAAGCTCTTCCAGACGGAGCACGGCGAGCATTTCAACGTGTCCTCGTCCAGCGAGTGGGTCCAAGGTGAGGCGCGCGGGGCGACCCGGCAACACCCAGCGGGGGGTTACAGGCCAGGGGTCACCGTCTCTGCAGAACAAGGACTTTCCTCTGGCACCAGCAGACCCGCCTGACTGTGCAGAATCGACTGAAAGTGTGGGGGCGCAAGCTGTCTTTAGTTAGTCGCACTAACCCAGGGCCCCGGTTGAGGTTGCAATTTCACCTCACTGCCCTGTTCCCCCCAAAATAAATAATAATGTTTATTTTCCCTCAAGAAGACACCCTGGGGCTTATTCTCAGGGGATGTGTTATCTTCCCCTCAAAGCCTCAGCTTGCAGCACGCACAGGACGGCCGGGACCTGACAGGGGGAGCCGACCTTGCTGGTGGGGCTGCCTGCACCTTTCCGGTCACCTCTGGGACAGCAGCTGTCACGACGGGGCAGATGAGAAGGGCTGCTCGTGTTCTTTCCCGCTCCGCGACCACACGCACGGGTTGTGCAGACGCTGCGCAGCCACGCCGGTCACTAGGGCTGATTTTCGGGGTGGGGCTTCTATGGCACACATGCTTAGACATCCCGCCAGGGCTTGTTTTTTATGGGTAGGGCTTATTTTTGGGGAAACATGGTAGGATCTGGGGTGCAGGCCGGGCAGGGCCCGACGCGGAGCCCAATTGAAGCCGCATTCACAGACTGGACGGCGTGTGCTCAGAGCTTATCTCCCAGTTGGTTCTGTCTGACGGCGCCTCAACCTTCTTGCTGGCCTCACCAGGGAAGTGCTGGGTAAAGACACGGGCCCCACAGGTCCCCAGCTCAGCTGCTGGGGTGCCGGGCTCCAGGGCAGTGGGAAGGAGGAGACCCAGGCAAGGTAACAGGCTCATTTCTACACGCCTGGTCTTGTTCCTTTTTTTTTTTTTTTTGAGACAGAGTCTCACTCTGTTGCCCGGGCTAGAGTGAGTGCCGTGGTGTCAGCCTAGCTCACAGCAACCTCCAACTCCTGGGCTCAAGCAATCCTCCTGCCTCAGCCTCCCGAGTAGCTGGGACTACAGGCATGCGCCACCATGCCCGGCTAAGTTTTTCTATATATTTTTAGTCGGCCAATTAATTTCTTTCTATTTGTAGTAGAGACGGGGTCTCGCTCTTGCTCAGGCTGGTTTTGAACTCCTGACCTGGAGCGATCTGCCCGCCTGGGCCTCCCAGAGTGCTAGGATGACAGGCATGAGCCACTGCGCCCGGCCCCGGTCTTATTCTTAAACACGGCTTGAGACACTTGCCTGCTTGATACAGAATTCGAAGTGATTCTAGAAAGGCCATCCCTGCGCGTTTTAACCTCCTCCATCCAGTAGAAGCAGTGACCGGATTTGTGCAGCGTTCCTCCCAGACGGCGGGAGTGAGGGTCCCATGTCGGCTGACTGCTTCCTCCCACGGCGCTCTCGAAGGTCAAGAACACCTTTCTCGGGCCTGGCCACTCCCAGGGCCGCTCCCAGGGCCCCAGTGTTATTGCGAAGGGTTTACCCAGATTAGGGTGCAAGTTGCAGACCTTCCGTGGGTCCAACAGACTCAAAAAGCTCTGACTACCCCCCCAACCCCAAAGCACATCCTTCCCAGATTTAATTTTAATTTTCTCTTGCAATCCTGAACGTCCCAGCTTCAATTCTGAAATAGCCCCGGCCTTGTCCCGCTCGTTCACGTGACCACAGGAAGTGCAGCTCCTCACCAGCCTCCCCTCTCCAAATGCTCTGGAAATCCTCGGGAAACAAACGCCGGCGCGGTTTACAAATCCCGCTGGTGGCTGCGCGGCCAGCGTCTGGCTCAGACACGGCTGGTGGGAAGACCACCGCCCCGTGCCAGGAGAGCGGCGGCCATAGGCTTTCCCCGCTCCTGCATCTAGTAATACTCTGCTCCCAGCACGGACAGGCCTTGCCAAGACTGTCCCAAAGCGTCGCTAAGCCCAGACCGAGAACTCCCAAGCCAAGACCCAACCCCAAACTCTACGGCCACCAGCCTGCCGCCATGTTGCAGGGCCCGGTTTCCTTCCAACAAAAGAAGTACCCTTAGCAATGAATCCCCCGAGTTCCGATTCTCAACTATTTGAGGTCCAAAGAAGAATAAAAGTCCCAAGGACAGTGTGATCCCCTCATCCTGAAGCTCACGCCAGGCTCCCCACGATGAAAGTGTCCTTTGGAAACGTTCTGCTGAGCACTCATTAGTTCAAAACTCCGATTCCAGGCCGGGCGCGGTGGCTCACGCCTGTCATCCCAGCACTCTGGGAGGCCGAGGCGGGAGGATTGCTCGAGGTCAGGAGTCCAAGACCAGCCTGAGCGAGAGTGAGACCCCGTCTCTACTATAAATAGAGAGAAATTAATTGGCCAACAAATATATATAGAAAAAATCAGCCAGGCATGGTGGCGCATGCCTGTAGTCCCAGCCACTCGGGAGGCTGAGGCAGGAGGATCGCTTGAGCCCAGGGGTTTGAGGTTGCTGTGAGCTAGGCTGACGCCACGGCATTCTAGACCAGGCAACAGAGCGAGGCTCTGCCAAAAAACAAACAAAAAAAAAACAACTCTCGATTCCAGAACAGGACCTTGGGTTTTTCTTGGCAAAACCGAGGCCCACTGAGGGAGTCGTCCAGGAGGCTGAGGGCCACGTGCTCCCGCTGTGAGTCCAGACCTGGTCTCTAGAGAAAAGGAGCAGGCAGGCGCTGCCACCTGAGACGCCGGGCTCGCCCCTACGCCTGGCCACCGGGCTCTAGTGGACAGCCCCAGACCCAGCTAGGGCGTCTCTTTGTGTTCAGAAAGGGCGGCAGTGTGATCCACACGCTCCTGGCGGTTTCCACAGCCAGGACAGCAAAGCGGCCTCGTCCACGCTCACGAGAGGCGAGAGAAGCAGGATTCCAGCCCTTTCCAGAAGGCGCCCAACACGTCCATCGGCCAGGAGGTGAACACCCTGGTTAACCCAGGGCAGAGAACAAAAGGAAGTGGGACGTCCCACCTTAACCCTAACCCTAACCCTAACCTGTCACCTCTCACGTCCCGTGTGCTCCCCTGCGTGGCTGCACCAGCCCCGTGTCCTGCTCAGGGTGGGTCCCCAGGACCCTGCCCTGCCGGAGGGGGTCAAGGACGTCTGTGACCCCAGGGCAGGATTGCAGGAGGCCAGCTGGGAAGAAAGAGGGGTTCACAAGATTGGCACCGTTGACCTCCAGGAAACTGTCTCCAAGATCTAATGTTTTGTGATTCTGCAAAAAAACAAGAGCAAAAGAAAGAAAACCCAGAAAGATCTGGGTCTGCTGAGAGATCAGAGCTATCCCTGGGCGCTCAGCCCGGGGGAAACTGAGGCAGCACCCTGCCAGGTGCCAACCTCCGTGGCTGTAGGAGTGGGTGTGGCGTCCCAGCCTCACCTTCAGTCCTGGTTACCACCTGCCAGGTCATTTAAGTTAGTGCCTCAGTTTCCTCACATGCAAAAATGGGGAGAATAATTGCTCCTTCCTGGGATTGTTTTATGGACTTAATACAACACACGACGTCTCCAAACCAAAGTGAGCGCCCACAAATCTTATTATTTAAAATCATCTCATCATTAGTCATAACACTGTTCGTCGTTTTATCACCCTGATCGTGAATGACGATAAAGCCGTGTGCTGAAGGGCTGAAAGCGAGACTGTGCTTCGCTGGATGCAGGTGGACACTTTTCCACTCTTCTTCCCTGAAACCGAGGTCATCCTTCGGGTCAGAAACAGGGCAAAGCAGCGGGCTTGAGTAGCCGTCCCCGCGTGCGCATGGCGGGACGCCGTGCCGGGGAAGAGTCCGGCCGCGCCCGGCGGCGTCTCCGCGCCCAGTCCTCGGCGCGTGGAGCCTCCCACCCACGACCGTTCTGTCGGCTTCAGGGGACATCAGGAGGCCGGAGGCGCCAGGCTCGACCTTGGGGTGACCTTGAGCTTGCACCTGAGCCTCCCTGGGCGTCGGCCTCGTCTGGGAGCGAGTCTGCACCGACTGTCCCTCTGGCCGCCGCGGAGACGACACGCGGTGCACGGCGGGCGGGAGCGCGGCTGGCCGGCAGGAAGGGGCTGGACTTCCACTGCGGCCGGGCGCGCGTCCGCACGGCCCTCCCTTCCAGCCGGAGATAACGGTCCTGCTGGGCTCAAAAACGCACCGTTTCCTAAAAAGCCTCCTCTTTTTTTTTTTTTTTCTTTTGATTGGCTATACTTTCCTTCCTTATTGCCCGACTCTGGCGCCTTTGACCTCCGTGCCAAAGACGGTGGCAGCTGCAGCCCTCGCTCTGGGTCCCGCGTCCCTGAAGGGCAGTCGCAGTCCAGGTGCGCCCGGCTCTGGGACGAGCCCCAGCCGGCAGGGCCGTGCCCCGCTGGGAACCTGCCCCCTAAACTCCCCGCGGGCCTCCTAGCCGCCTCCATCAGCCCTCGCTCCACGACCGACCCCCACCCCGCCCCTGGGGGGAAACTGGAGATGTTGTTGAAAGCCTGCTCCTGGCCCTCCCGGAGCCCGCAGTGCCGGGGAGGAGGCAGACACCGAGCAGCGCAGGGCAGGGCTGGGGAGGATAAGTCCGGGTCCAGGTTTGTCCCTGCCTCTTACTGGCTCTGTGACCCCCGGCACATGACCGGCCCTTGCTGAGCGTCTGTTTCCTTATCTGTAAAACCAACACTGACCTCCTCGGGCTGCTGGGAAGATGGAATGAGTTAACGTGCGTGAACATTAGCTCCATAGCTCCAAAAGCAGTGCTCAGACTCTGCTGTCCATTGGAATCTCCCGGGCCGCTTTTAAAAGTCCGGTCCCCATAGGCTGCAGTCCAGACACGGCCACATCTGAGGCTCCGAGGATGGAGCCTGGGCATGAATGTTGTTTAAAAACTCCGGCCGGGCGCGGTGGCTCACGCCTGTAATCCTGGCGCTCTGGGAGGCTGAGGCGGGAGGATCGCTCGAGGCCAGGAGTGTGAGACCAGCCTGAGCAAGAGCGAGACCCCGTCTCTACTGAAAATAGAAAAATTAGCTGGTAGTGGCGGTGTGCACCTGTAGTCCCAGCTACTCGGAAGGCCGAGGCAGGAGGATCGCTTTGAGCCTGGGAATTTGAGGCTGCGGTGAGCGAGGCTGATGTCCTGCCTTCTAGCCTGGGCGACTGAGCGAGACTCTGTCTCAAAATAAATAAATGGTAAATAGATGAACGTAAACTCCCCATGTGACATGCAGCGATGTCTGTCAGCCGCTGTTGCCGGCTGGGGTGGCGCAGGGGGGAGAGCCCCGGCTCAGATCCCGGCGAGGGCGCACCTGCTGTGGGTCCCCGTGGGCCCGTGGAGCGCTCACCAGTGACAAGCGGCCAATCACCGGCTTGGATGCCGAGCGCCGCAGGACCCCAGGGAAGGCGTCTGTCCATTCCGAGACTTTGAGCTGTCTTTCTTAGAGCAGAACCGAGGGGCAGCCCCCGGGATGACAGTCCGAGGCCGTTGCAGATAGTCGTGCAGCGGGGACGGTTTTAGTTTGTGAGCGTACATTTAGAACGTTAATCACCGCCTTCCTTCTTCGTTACAAAAAAAAAACCGGCTCGCCCTGTAATTTCCTTTGTCGTTCCCAGGCCACGACGGCGGACGGCGTCGGCCTCAGCGCCGAGGTCGTCTACAAGAAAGGCCAGGATTACAGGTTCGCCTGCTACGACCGCGGCCGGCCCTGCCAGAGCTACCGCGTGCGCTTCCTCTGCGGGAAGCCTGGTGAGCAGCCCCCGCCGGGGACAGAGGCGCAGCCGCTCCGGCCTCCGGGTGACAGTGCTGCTCCTCCTGCTGGGCTCTTGTGACGCAGGAGCGGGGGCAGGGGGGCTGTCCTCAGAGCTGGCAGGGGACGGCGGGGCCCCACCCTGCCCGCGGGCGTTCCGGGAACGCGGGACCAGGGTGCAGAGCCGGGGAGCCCACCCCTCTGCGGGGACTGGAGCTCTTCGCCTGGCCGGCTGCTGTTAGTTTGAACCCGGTGGCCGGGGTGCTCGCTAGAAGGACCGGGAATGGTGGGTTTGCGCTGGGAGGCACCCGGCCACCTGCAGAAGGCCGTCATTAGGGACGGGCACGCTTGGGCGGAGCGGTTTACGGCCACCGCAAATAATAGCTGAGAAAAGCTGTGTTTGTGTCCTATCTTGAGCAAAGTGGGTGTGGCGAGACAGCCCATGGAACCGCAGCTAAGGACCGAGTGGAAAGTTCCCCTGCCCGGAGCTAATGAATGGCTCTTTTCTGGCGGGGTTTGTGTTGACTTCAAAAACCTGAACCAAGACCGGGCGGGAGTGAGCCGGGGATCTGGGGTTGGGACGGGCAAGGCTGCGCTGACCTATTTCGGGAGGGGAGGGGAAGGACCGGACAGCCGGCAGTTTGCCAAGGGCAGAGGCTCTGCATCTCGGCCTTCCTGTCTCGTTGTCACAGTGAGGCCCAAGCTCACGGTCACCATCGACACCAACGTGAACAGCACCATCCTGACCCTGGAGGACGACGTGCGGTCGTGGAAGCCCGGAGACACCCTGGTCCTGGCCAGCACGGACTTCTCCATGTACCAGGCGGAAGAGTTCCAGGTGCTTCCCTGCAAGGCCTGCGCCCCCAACCAGGTCAAGGTGGCAGGTAGGACTGACTCTCACGGACCCCTCCCTCAGCTGGGTGAATCCGAACAGGGTCAGGCTTAAAGTGAGCGGAAATCAGAGCAGAGCTGTACCGGTCAGCTACGGCAGCACTGATGCCGCGTAACAAAAGGGCCATGAAGTTTCATGGCAAGAATTTGTCTGTTGCAGGTGCACGTGCAGGTTGTCCGGGGTTCGGGTTCTCTAGCGTGATCCCGGCTCCAGAGTGAGAGTTGGGTTCGGGTCAGCTCCGTAGGCCTCCTCCTTCCCGGGGTGTGCTCTTCTCGTGGGGAAGGCTGGAAGCTCCTAGAAGGGTGAGTGGGACTCCCAAGGCTTAGGCTGAGGACCGGCAGGCTCTCACACCCACTTTCCGCTGGCCAAGGGAGATCACGTGGTGCAGCTCAACGCAGACGGGATGGCGAAGCTTGTTTCTCCCTCCAAGACTGGGGGAGGGGGCGAATGTTTGTCAGACAGTCGTTCAATCTGGCGCAAAACAGTAAACCTCCCTATAGCTTTTGGGTTTTCCTTTCTTCTCCTAAATCTTGACTTACAAAGCCTTATCATTTATATTACGTGAGGTCACTGGAATCATAGGTTGTCAGAGGTGAAAAGAGACCTCAAATACAACCCCGGTCAATTACTCATAGCAGGGAGAGTTGTGTATCAATTAGGGTTCTTTGGTTGTAAGTGACAGAACCCAACTCAACTATCTTAAGCGAAAAAGGGATTTATTGGGCGGCTCTTCAGCTTCGAGAGTGAGGGTTGGAGCTGAGCAAACGAGCTGCAAAAGACAAGGACAGGGCAGGTCCAGGGATCCCGGGAGCGGGAACGGACGGGCACATCCTCTGGGCGCTGCTGTCTGTAAGCACCACACTCGGTCCCCGGGACGCGGCGCTGAAAAGTCGCCTTCCAGAGAGAGCGCGTCTGGCTGGGCGGGTGGCCCATGTGCTCGCCCTTTGGCTAGGAAAGGCAAGGACCGTTCTCCTGCACGCACACCCTTTCTCAGACTGCAGTAAGAGGAGAAAGGGTCATTCCCCAAAGAAAAACGGGGACGTATGACCAGGAAAAAGGGGAATCGGTCATCTCAGTCCCATAAAGGGACACCAGAGGTCAATGCAAGGGGCAGCTCTGAACGCGGTTCACGCAAAGAGGCTCTGGGCGTGGCTCTCTGCAGTCGGACGCCTAACCCGCGATGGGGACGTGCCGTCATGGGCCACATCCCATGACGACATTTAGAAGAAGGCAGATTTTGGTTTTTTGGTAGAGGCAGAATAGCAGAAGAAACATGCAGAGCTCAGGCTCTGGGACCGGGCATCTGGGATTCAAATGACAAGAGCGGCAGTTACCAGCTGTATGACCTTATGCTCTTTCGCCTCGGTTTCCTCATCTGTATAATGGTGATAGTGACGGTAACTTCTTCAAGGGGTTGTTATGAAGACTAAAGGAATTTATAGGTGTGAGGTACTTAGAGTAGTGCCTGGCACATAGTCGATAAATGCTAGCTGCGGTTACTGTTCGTATTGGGTGCAATAATTTAGCAACTGCACTTAAAGACGGGAAGGGAAGGAAGGGCGTGGCCGCGGGCCGTGGTCGCACTCCACTCCGTGTATCTCGCGGGTGACCAGCTCTGCCCTTCCGGGACGTGTTGGGAGAGCGTGTCGCAGAGGGTGGAAGCAGACCGTTCCTGTCGCCATGAACCCGATGCCTGAGGTCTGCCGTCGGCCCCCAGCCCCCTCCCTGCGCGTCTCGGCGCTGCGGGCGCGGACGTCAGCTCCGTGTGTGCACGCCGCGCCCTCCTCCACCCCGGGCTGGCCGGCGTCCTCGCCCTGCCCTTCCCCCACGAGGCACCGATGGGGAGGGGACAGGGGCACGTCACCGTCCGTTCCGCAAGCCGGCAGAGCGCACGCGTGGGGCCGGAGTGCCGGGCTGCCTGCCGCCGTGGCGAGCGAGACAGACACGCTCCCTGCGCGCTAGCAGCCCGAGACGCCGCGGCGGGGATAGATACCCACCACCGAGTCGTCGCAACCGGATCCCACCTGAGACGGCTGCTGCGAAGGTGGGGCGTGGGAGGAGTCGGGGGCACGGAGAAGTGGGGCTTGGCAGAGTCAGAGCGGGCGTGCGCGCCTTTCCGGAGGAATGAGCAAGTGAGAGGAGCTAACTACCGTGTTTCCCCGAAAATAAGCTCTACCCATACAACAAGCCCTAGCAGGATGTCTAAGCATGTGCGCCATAGAAGCCCCACCCCGAAAATCAGCCCTAGTGACGGGCGTGGCCGCGCAGCGTCTGCACAACCCGTGCGTGTCGTCGAGGAGCGGGAAAGGACACGAGCAGCCCTTCCCATCCGCCCCGTCGTGACAGCTGCTGTCCCAGAGGTGACCGGAAAGGTGCGGGCAGCCCCACCAGCAAGGTCGGCTCCCCCCGTCGGGTCCCGGCCGTCCTGTGCGTGCTGCAAGCTGAGGCTTTGAGGGGAAAATAACACAGCCCCTGAGAATAAGCCCTAGGGTGACTTCTTGAGGAAAAATAAATATAAGACCCTGCCTTATTTTCGGGGAAACATGGAAGGAGAAGTAGCGAGGAGGGGACACTTTCGTAGGGGCAGCAGGGAGCCTCCCAGCGGCAGGGGATCAGAGCGGCCGGAGTGTAGACCTCCGGGAGAGCTTCCTGGGCTGCGGAGAGCGCGGGAGAGGCCAGGTGCAGAGTGGGGCTTTGTTCCGAGTGCACAGGGCAGCTGCTGAGGGCACAGGCCTGTCCCGCCTCCCCGGCAAGGGAGGACGTCCGTGCCCGAGTTTGTAGGGAGGCAGGTAGACAAGCAAGCTCCTTCCTGGTGGCTTCAGGCCCTGTGTCTCCCGGGGACCGCGCGTTGTGGACGAGCCCCTGCACGTCCGAGGTCCCCTGGACTCTCGGCAGGAGTGGCGCTCGGCGGATGAGAGGACGTCGCTGTTCCTGGTGACGGTCACAGGCCTGGCAGCGAGCGGGCTGTCCGGGAGGCGAGAAGCCCGACCTGGAGTTCCCCGCGTGTGCTCAGACCAGCCCCCACCACACCCTCGAGGGTCGGGCACCCCGAGACCGGGCAGGGAGATCTCGCTTCGCACAGGTCCCGGCAGGGCAGCTGCGGTGCCGGGGTGGCCCCGGGTGTGGGGAGCACGCCTGGCTCGTGGGCGGCGGGTTTGCGTGCCAAGCGGGGCAGGGCCGGCTGCTCTGGGAGGCCCCCGGTGGCTGCGCAGAGATGAGGGGACGGGGCTGCCCCCACCCCGGGTTCCACGGAGGGGGTGAGCGGGGAAGATGCCGAGGCCCCTCAAGGCCCGGCTCCCCCGGTTCAGCTCTGCCCGTGTCCTCACTCCCCACGCACTCCCCCGCCACACCCCGCTCCTTAAAGTCGGCAGGCTCAGAGTGGCCTCGCTCAGCCCTGCCCGGCACTCTGGGGCCGTGAAAGACGTGCCCCCCCTCCACCCCCGCCGTGAGCGGCATCAGAAAAGCCCCAGGTAGGGGTGTGCGTGTGTATGCACACGCGTGTGCGTGTGTGTGTCCACACGTGCGTGCATCTGTCCCGGAGGGGCTCGCATCTCCCCTGTCCACGCAGAGCCCATTCCCCAGATGCCCACCCCCGACGGGGCGCCAAGTCGCCCTCCAACTGCTGTCCCTCCTGTGGCCGCCCCACTCCTGGCTGGCGGCTGGGGCGGACGCCTCCTTCGCAGATTCCAGCAAACAGGAGCGTTTGCATTTTAAGGACTTTCTGGCAGGAAACCAGTCAGGAAAACGCATGAATTGCCTAAAACTTGTATTTCAAAATGTTGCCCACCACAGTGATTCCCGACACCTCCAGGTGGCAGGTGGAGGGGCAGGTGGGGAGGGACAGGTGAGGGGGAGGCAGGTGTGGAGGGACAGGTGGAGGGCAAGTGAGGACAGGTGGAGGGCAAGGGGAGGGACAGGTGGGAAGGCAGGTGGGGAGGGGAGGTGGGGGGCAGGTGCCCCCACAGTTCAGGGAGGGACTCTGGCCGCAGCGGGGAAGAGACCGGCAAGAGCTAGAGGGGAGCACCGTCGGGGAAGGTCTTTGTGTGTGAGGATTTTAAGGACAGGAGGACTAGAGGAGCCCCGTGCACGAGGAAGTGAACCCACGGGGCCGGCTGCCGGGGTCCAGCACCTTGAGAACACAGGCTCTGGGGGTGGGAGCACGGGAGGGAGCACAGCGTTCTCTCCCCCGGGGCCAGACAAGAGCTTGGTGGCAGGGAGGTCTGCACAGAGTGGGGAGCAGCCTCTCACCCAGGCTCCACACGGTGCCACCGAGGCACCAGAGCCAGCCACGGTGGGGGACACGGAAGCTCCCATCTGGCTCTTTCTGCAGCGCCGGGCAGCGGGTTCACGTACTCCGTGAGGCTTGGGGAAGTGGGGGGACCTGCGTGCCATGACAGGGTGTGAGACGGGGGGCTGCTTTACGTCCGGGAGAATCCCAGCGGGCGGCACTCTGGGGCGTCCTCCAGAACAGGTTTCTGGCTCCCGCTGCTGTCTCGGGGGCTGTCCTCGTCTGGGCGGCGCGGCTGGCCCTCCGTCCAGTCCCGTCCCGTCCTGGGTGGGCAGGAGGAGCCGCAGCCTGGAATCTGCACCCAGCGCTGCTTCTGGCGGTGAGCGGGCTGGGATGTGCCACCCCCGTGGGCAGCCATGTCTCCGGCCGCCATGTGGGAGAGTCTTGTGTGGAAAAGCAGATCAGGGAACACGCACTGGGGAAGTCAGCATTTCCTGCCAAGACTCCGGCGCACGAGCTGCGAATCCGGCTCCGCCTCCAGGTGTAGACGCCTTACTGGGTGTCACATCGCTCCACAGTGGGCAGGGGCGCGGGGAACACCACAAGGCAGGGCTTGGCGATTAGTGCGCAGCCGTGTGGGAGCGCCTGCCGGAGCACGATGGGGGCACGGCACCTGCTCTTTCCCACCGCCCCCTCCGCCCTGCCCAGGGAAGCCGCTGTACCTGCACATGGGCGAGGAGGTGGACGGCGTGGACATGCGGGCCGAGGTCGGGCTGCTGAGCCGGAACATCGTGGTCATGGGCGAGATGGAGGACGGGTGCTACCCCTACAGCAAGCACCTCTGCAGCTTCTTTGACTTCGACACCTTTGGCGGCCACATCAAGGTAGGGCTGCCTGGCGAGGCCCCAGCCCCAGGGGCGGGTTCCAGGGGGCAGCCCGTGTGCGGGTTCCACTGGTCTGGCCGTTCCCCCGAGCCCGGCGGGAGTGGCGTGGGTGCCGTGTGGCCCCCCACGTTCTCCCACCACCAGAACACGGGCTCGTGAAGGCTCCAGCGTCAGCGCCCCATCCCACATGGGGACGATGGCACAGCTCTGGGCACCCCCCACCCTGTGATGGGGGTCCCCAGTGCTCCCCGGGTGTGGGTTTTTGCCAGCACCCCTCCCCCAGGTTGTCCCAGAGCCCCCCGCTTCCCCGTGTCACCCCGTGGCTGGGGAGGCGGGAAAGGGGGGTGGGAGGGAGCCCAGCCATGACACAGCACCCCAACATCTCCACGCCACGCAGCCCGTTGCCGGGCAACGTCCTCCGCCATTGGCAGCACCTTGCCTGTCCCCCTCCCCAGAGAAGGGCCAGGCGTCCCAGCCCACACGCAGGGGGCGTCTCTGATCCACGGAGTCCCTGGGTGGGGGGACGCTTTGAGGACAGCACCTCGCGTTCTCGGGAGGTGGGCAGCAGCCGGGGAGGGGTCAGGACGAGTCTCCCGGACCACCCTGACGCCCGCCTCCCCCCACCCCCACCCTAGTTTGCGCTGGGGTTCCGGGCGGCGCACTTGGAGGGCGTGGAGCTGAAGCACATGGGGCAGCAGCTGCTGGGCCAGTACCCGATTCACTTCCACCTGGCCGGCAACCTGGACGGCCGGGGAGGCTACGACCCGCCCACCTACGTCCGGGACCTGTCCATCCACCACACGTACTCGCGCTGCGTCACCGTCCACGGCTCCAACGGCCTGCTGGTGAGTGCGTCCTCCCGCCCGGCGGCGGGGGCTGGGGCCAGGATGGTTGGCATTGGGGGGTGGGGGTTCAGACCTGCACACTTAGACCGGGACCCCTGGGGGTCGAACCATCCTTAGCTCCGATGTTAGCAAGGCAGAGACCGCGAGAAGGTCACCGCCACGCGGGAATAGAGAGTGCGGGGCGTGTCCTCACCAAAGCCCCAGGCTGCAGAGACGGGACACTGGCTGGTCTGTGCTCAGCCGTGGGGGCTGGGAGTCCAGCTCCTGCTGAGCCTCCCGGGAGGGACGGGGGTCTGGGGTCGTTCCGTGGCCGCACAGCGTGGCAGTCCTGCGAGGACCCTGGGCCGTGACAGCAACCGGCCCCTGTCTTCTGCTGACCCGAGGGTTCCTGCGGAGCGTCCCTGCGGGGAGAGACGCCCTCGTTAGCAGACCGGCGCCTGCGTCAGAGCCCCGTCTCTATTTCCGCGGATAGTTTTTACGCCAGAGCCATCCTTTTCCAAAGGAACTGAACTTACATCCTCTACAGACTGTAAATCCGGACGTCACCAAACGGCACCCGGACCCGGCAACCAGACGTGTTTTGTTTGGCTTGCGCAGTGTTTAGGGAGACGCTCGATAATTTTTATGCTAAATGGATAATGTCACACTGAACTGGACTTGCTTTAAGTGGACCGCACTTATAGCCGCCGTAAACTGTAAGAGGGGATGTCGCAGAAATGCCGCCCTGCGCACAGATGTGTTGTGTTTGGCGTGGATGGTGTTTAAGGAAACACCGGAATTAGTTTCCGCCGTTTAAAAATGAAGGGATTCCGCATAAGAGTCTGGATCCCTGGCTTCTCGCGAACAGCGGGCCGGGGGGCAGCCCTGGCCAGGAGCAGAGCCGCGGCTGCCCACGCGGAGCGGGCGCGTGTGATCTCCATTGTGCACGGTGCCCGCCACGGCCCGTCACATCACCGTGAATCCCCCTGGCGGAGCCGTGCCCTGTCACTGCCCGCCGGCCCCCGGGGGCATCGGGGTTTGTGGGCGCTACTCTCAGCCAGGCGGGACGCAGCCCGGACAGCGGTGGGGACGGGAAGGGGCGGAGGCCGCCGTCCGTGGGCCACGGGAGAAGCCACTCTCGGTTCTGCTCGTGCTCTCCTGTGGGAAACGAGGGCCTGCCGTCTCCGCGTCTGCAGTGCCCCGATGTGACCGAGCGCGGAGGAGAGAGGTGGCTTTGCCGCCCCGCCCGGGAGGGCTCGGGGGCTTGACCCCAGGTCGTGAGCTGTGGGGTCCTGGGCAAGTTGCTCGACCTCTCCGAACCTCAGTTTCCCCCTCAGTTGAGCGGGACAATAATAACAGCAGACACCCAGGGCTGTCTCGAGGATCACTGGGATGCCAGTGCCACCGGGGGACCACGGCCCTGCCCACGGCTCACGGGGAAGGGCTGGCCACGCGCCTGGGCCGGCTCTTCCCCACGGGTGGCCGGAGGGCCGTCCCGGAGTGGCTGCGGGAAGGCGTGGGGTGTTCTGCGGCTCCAGGGGGAGCAGAGGAGGGTGCGTTCTGGCGGAAGCGGAAAGACAGTGGGAAGTGCGGCGTGCGCAGACTGGGGGCCACGGCGTGACGCTGGGCCCGGGCTCTGCCGCCAGGCGCCACGTGCTCTCGGCGGGCCCTTTCTCAGCTCCCTGCTGCACCTGGGAACAAGCGGGGGAGGGCACTGCGCGGCCTGGTGGCCGTCTCCAGGTCTCGCGGCGGTTGGCGGGACGGGCGCGGCGGTCGGTGGAACGGGCGTGGCGGGTGTGGTCGCAGCGCTGCACTCGGCTGGCGGTGAGGGTCGGGGCGTGGGGCGGAGTGCGAGCGGGACTGGGCAGGGAGGGGACGGGCCGGCCTGGGTACGGGAGCGCTGCGAGCTCCGGACACTCACGCTGATGAGGCGCCCGCAAACTCAGCTCGGATCCGCCGCTGTTTACCCTTATAAAGTCGGCCAGCTTGGGTTGCCGGAGCCTGTGATTGCAGAGCTGGGTCGGCTAGAGTGGGGCTGCCCTGAGTCTCGGGGCAACCTCACACACGCAAGCGCACACGCACACACACCTGCAGTGTGGACACACACGCACGCACACACACCTGCAGTGTGGACACACACACATGCACACACCTGCAGTGTGCACACACACACACACCTGCAGTGTGGACACACACACACATACACACACCTGCAGTGTGGACACACACGCACACACACCTGCAGTGTGGACACACACACACGCACACACACCTGCAGTGTGGACACACACACGCACACACACACCTGCAGTGTGGACACACACACACGCACACACACCTGCAGTGTGGACACGCGCACACACGCACACACACCTGCTGTGTGGACACACACATGCACACACACCTGCAGTGTGGACACACACGCACACACACCTGCAGTGTGGACACACACGCACACACACCTGCAGTGTGGACACACACACACATGCACGCACACCTGCAGTGTGGACACACACGCACACACACCTGCAGTGTGGACACACACACACATACACACCTGCAGTGTGGACACACACACACACATATATACACACACCTGCAGTGTGGACACACACACACACACACCTGCAGTGTGGACACACATGCACGCACACCTGCAGTGTGGACACACACAAGCACACACCTGCAGTGTGGACACACACACACACACCTGCAGTGTGGACACACACACACATGCACGCACACCTGCAGTGTGGACACACACACACACACCTGCAGTGTGGACACACACACACATACACACCTGCAGTGTGGACACACACGCACACACACCTGCAGTGTGGACACACACACATACATACACACCTGCAGTGTGGACACACACACGCACACACACCTGCAGTGTGGACACACACATACACACACCTGCAGTGTGGACACACACACACACACCTGCAGTGTGGACACACACACACATACACACACCTGCAGTGTGGACACACACGCACATACACACCTGCAGTGTGGACACACACACACATACACACACCTGCAGTGTGGACACACACACACACCTGCAGTGTGGACACACACACACATACACACCTGCAGTGTGGACACACATGCACACACACCTGCAGTGTGGACACACACACATACATACACACCTGCAGTGTGGACACACACGCGCACACACACCTGCAGTGTGGACACACACAAGCACACACACCTGCAGTGTGGACACACACACGCATACACACCTGCAGTGTGGACACACACACATACCTGCAGTGTGGACACACACACATACACACACCTGCAGTGTGGACACACACAAGCACACACACCTGCAGTGTGGACACACACGCACACACACCTGCAGTGTGGACACACACACATACATACACACCTGCAGTGTGGACACACACATGCATACACACCTGCAGTGTGGACACACACAAGCACACACACCTGCAGTGTGGACACACACGCACACACACCTGCAGTGTGGACACACACACGCACACACACCTGCAGTGTGGACACACACAAGCACACACACCTGCAGTGTAGACACACACAAGCACACACACCTGCAGTGTGGACACACACACACACCTGTAGTGTGGACACACAAACACACACGCACACCCCTGCAGTGTGGACAGGCGTGAGCCACTGTGCTGGCCTTCCACACGCCTTCTGTATCTCACGGAGCTAGTCGGCTGCAGCTCTCCTCGGCACCCGAGCACAGAGGTGGACCCCAAAAGCTTCGCCACCGGCTTGGGGCTCTCACTGGCAGAGTCGAGGGATGGGGTGGGGGTGAGGGAAAGGGAAAACCTCCCTCCCTCCTGTCTCCTCCTCTTCTCTTCACTTGCTCCTCCTTCCTCCCGTCTCCCGTCTCCCCCACCGTCTGGCTGCCTTGCGCTCTCACTCCTTCACTCCTTCCCTTATTAGGCCGAGGCCTAGGGCTGTCCAGCCCCTCCCAGCCTCTATTTCTCTATTTGCATATTCAAAACTCATCCAGACGCTCTGCAAAGCAAGCCGCCCACCGCCCTGCTCCAAGGCGGCCTTCTCTCCCGCAGTTCAGACTCCGCTTTAAAATACAGCAGAAGCTTGAGAATGACAGTCTTCTCTCTGACACGACTGTGTTTGCTGTCGAGTCTCTCACTAGTACGAATATGCCTCTCACCTGCCTTGGATCGCAGGAGCAAGCGAAGTTTGTGTGCATTTGTGTGTGTGTATGTTAAACGGCGGTTTGTAGTACCAGCTGTGTGCTGGTGGGAGGGACTTACAGCCGACTCCCGATTTGCACAGAACAGTCCCATTCTGGACCAATCGTCTCAGTGCAACTACCGTGTTTCCCCAAAAATAAGCCCTACCCATAAAACAAGCCCCAGCGGGATGTCTAAGCATGTGCGCAATAGAAGCCCCACCCGAAAATCAGCCCTAGTGACCGGCGTGGCTGCGCAGCGTCT